ACTACTAATACTAATACTACTACTAACTACTAACTACTAACTACTAACTACTACTACTACTACTACTACTACTACTACTACTACTACTGCCTACACTGTACTATAATTTAGTACTATAGACGACTGTGCTACCTATAATACTATACACTGCACTACACTACGCCAGACTAGACCAGACTATGCTGCACTATACTACACTATACTATCAGTCCCTCGGCGTGGCCTGGCTTGTAGACATGCGAAGTGCAACCCTTAGGCTGGGATGGAGATGTCACTCGGGTACAAGCCTGGGTCACCTTTTGGGTACCTGTTCTTGTACTAGTTCACTGTAGAGAGAACACCAAACGTGATCATTGTTCAGAACAAGCCTCAGCTGCTCGACGCAATTGACATTTCCAATACAACAGACTGCCACGTCATTCCCTGGCCTGCTGCAGCTCTTGAAGCCATTGCAGCAGAAACGAAAGACGTATCAGAGCTTCTATTATGTCGTTCGACTGCTTTATGCCATTGCTGACGCTAATCGCCATCATTGGTCGCACGGCTGATTCACTACCACTGGAAACCTGAAGCATTTTCCTTCCCGGCTGTACATGCACGAGCTTTTGAAGCTGAAACTGAGGAGCCATTCACATGATTGCACAACCTGTTCTGGATGACTACCGTAGTTACTTCCAGACGTCTAGCTCAACACTTCATGGCTTGGTGCTCAACCGTTGGGCCCATGCAGGAAGGATCCCATTGTCCTGATAAGCGAGCACGCTGTGGGGATTGATACGGACGTTATACCGGAGAATTTGGCGGATTCAACGAGCAGGTATGTAAAGCAAGTCCTTGCGCAGCAAGGTGAGTAGGTGAAGTGATAGGTGCCGTAGCAACCATAGGCTGCACCTGCAAACGAGGAAAAGGCTGGAGCGTGGGGCCGGTTTCTTCTTCAGTGCACCGAGATGTCACTGGGTCATGCTAGTCAGCGGATCATGACCATGGTTCATGATGGCTACAATGACAAACGCTCGCAGCCTTCCCTGAGCGGGCCCGATTTCAGGTCAAGCTACTAAATGTCCCCGCAACGAGGACCCAAGTAAACTCGAATCACGACAGCTTACAGCAAAGTATCAGTGCCGACCTCAACATCGAACGACAAGTGCAACAGGGTCTGTAACGGTAGTCGGCCCGCAGGCCTCCCCCAGCCGAAGTCCTCCCAGACCTTGGCCCACTGTTTAAGTCTGCCGTGGTCTTTCGCAACTCCGCTGTGCCGTCCATGCTCCGTGCAGCCGTAGCATTGCCGAGGCTGCAGAGGGCTTTTTCCGGGCGCGTCAGGTCGTCGCATCGGTGTGGTCGGCCTTGCAGAGGCAAGAAATCGAAAGCCCCGCTGACCCCCAACCTTTACAGCAAGACTCCAAAAGCACCGCAGGCTCTCACTGTCAGAGAACGAGCAGCAGCTGACAGAAAACAGCATGTAGCACAAGGCAACACAGCAGCACACAGCAACAGCGGGGTGGCCTCGGGATCCAGAGCCCTGAAGGATCGAGACAAATCCAAGTGTCATGCACTCAACGCCGCGGCTTTTAGTTGCAGTAAGCATGCAAAGAGCGGCATGAGACAAGACGAAGACCGACTTTGACGCGTTCTCCTCAGCAAACCACGAAGCGGGAGATGCGCTGAGGCGCTGGGGCTCTGGCCGCGGCTCCCCGTGACCATCGATTCGAACCTCGAGCCGTCTCTCGCTAGAGTTACATACGTCCGCGTCCACAAAGCACAGATCTGCACAGCACGTAAGGCAAGAGCCATGCTGGGTGACCCGATCAAATGTTGAGCCAGAATCTGCCACAGGGAACCGGAAGGCTTTGCGTCGCAGTTCACGCTTGACGAGGCATCATATGGCGAATGCTTGTTTGGTTGGTACAAAGAGTGTCAAGAAGGGACTGACCTCAGCCTCAGCAATCTGGCACTCCGACCGATCGAGGACCACCAATTCCTGGCCATGTGCACCAAACCATGCAGCGTTTTTGGCATGGCGACAGTTGCATGTCGTCAAAGGTACATCGAGACATGGGACAGGGAGGCAAGCCGGCTTGCCAGCTACACATAGGGTAGGGCCAGAACAGACCTGATCTTTGAACGTCGACCTGAGCCTAGAGATCTTTAGGTATAATGAAACCGTCCGGAAAGCAGAACATGGCTGCAGGTCATAAGCAAACGGAAATCAAACTAAGAAGTAGGAAGTGGGAGGACGTGACACTCAAGCAGAACAGCGCTCCTTCCCATCGCCGAAAGGACGAAGGAAATGGAACCTTCAGGTGTGCTCACGTTGCGGCCATGCAGCTCACACTCCCGCTTCGCACATAGTGGATTAGAACTGAGCCGCTAACACGAGCTGCTGCTGCTCACATCGTGCCACCTGTAGCATCCATAGCTGGACACGAAGATCGAACAAGCTTTCATAGCAGCGGCATCTCCAGAGATCCATGTGCAGCAAAGCTTGAGCAATCTTTTGAAACGCCGGCCCTTCTCATCAGCGCTTCGATCAACTACCATGGCTACACCGACTGCCGTCGAGCAGCTTCAGTTGCGTGTTTCCGCATCCATGCGGGCCACAACCGTCGCTTCAATGCAGGCCCACCAAAATCAATGAGGAGCACCACCCGAGGCACCGACTCGTCCAAGTTCACAGCCTCATGATTCCTGTTACCGTTGAACGTTGAAGATAGTCCATTGGCCTTGACCCCGTTGCATCGCATTACTCCAACACGGATTGCACAGCCACAGCGGTCGGGGACTTGCAACCGCAAATGTGCTCAAACACCACTGGTTCCCACATGTTCGTGACGTGGCTTGATATGGCAACCTGGCACGAGATCACTGAAAGTCAAAATCGTGATTCGACGCAAGTCTGCGCGCCAACAGCTGCCCGTGGGCGACAAGAGACAGTGGTCCGCTTCTGCGTAGCGCTTGACCATACTGCATGTGAAGCCGTTCGAAAGCTCCAGAAGGATCCCTGCAGATGGCAACCGGTTGCACGAGGCTGGCTCGAGAAAACTGTCATGAGTCATGGCCTTTCGCCGCACATGCCCCGCACTCGCACCGGATATGCTCCGGCCCCACTCGCAGCTTGCCCAGCTTGTGCTGAACACTCATCTCAGACTTTCTTCTCCACCGACGGATCGGGCGCCGCTGCTCAACCGCTCTTGCACAGGATTCAAGATCGGGCCATGCCAAAGCATCGTCACAATGGCTGGCCGAGGGGCCTGCAGGAGATTCCGGATGCACCGCCTCATCGGCCAAAAGCAGGTGATGCTCGTGCAGGACCAAGGAGACCAATGGAGATATCACGTCGCAGACCATGCAGAAGTCCAGCTCAGCACGCCATGCACCTTGAAGGTCGTGCCTGGATCTCTTTCTGGATCCCTTGGCTGATTTTGGCCCTGTACGACCGTGACTCCTGCGCCGATGCTACGCCTAAATTTCCAGCAGCCGTCCCTGCATTTGAGCCTGAAAGCTCGCGTATGATCAACCACTGCTTACCACGAACACTAGGATTCAAGACGGGCTCAAGCGTCAGATGTGGGAGCAGCCAACCAGAGAACACGGCAGTCTTCAAAGCTATCCCTGTGCTTGGCGCGCACCGCTCTGGCAAGCTCTGCGACATTCCGCATCGCTTCTCCACAGAAGGTGTGGAGAACAATGTTGCCTGTCCAGAACAATAGGAATGCTAACAAACGAAACAAAAATGGGTAGCAACGACAACATTAGCCGTAGAAATAGCCACAGCGCACCTAAGCTGGGAAGCTGAGAATCCGTCCGAAGGAATGGTAGCCCGAGTTGCACGGATGTGCCAACACCTGGCCCAGTGACGACAGCAGGATTTCAAAATCTGTTACAGCTGGGGTTTAGGGCCTACAAGTAGGGTGGGTGTGGGCAGTTTTTGGAGTGTAGGACTCGAAGCACGGACGGGATGCGTGGCGTCCAATGTCCGGAGTTCAACATATTCACTATTCGATCCAAGCTTGAACGAAGTTCGGGAGCATACAGTCGGGACGTGCTTAACTCATCTTAACTCGATATCTCGGGGTCACAGTGCAACTCTGGGACTCCAGTCTTTTCTTCTCCTGGCGCACATAGAAGGAGATGCGGCCCTGCTCGTAGCGGCGACGCACATCGTCGAGGAACTCGTCCACGCGCTGCTGCGCCTTCACCACCTCGTGGGAGGTTTCTGAGACCCAGAGAGACCCGGGCTTGGGCGGGCGGTGGCTTCACAGATCCCCGTCGCCCCTGCGCCTCAGGCTCTGCCATCGTAGCCTGTACCAGCCAGGCGTCAGGCGGCACATCCTTGGAAAAAGTTTGCAAGGCGATGCTTTCGTTGAGCTCCTCGGCTCTGAGAAGCGAGCAACGAGCTCCAGGCGGCTTTCCTCGTGCTGCTGCCCCGGAGGGAACCTGGGAAAAGAGGGGTGCAATTCTCCGCTTGGGAGGAACATGAAAGAACTGCACACACATCGCAAGTGTCAGAATCTCTCACACCGCATAAAATGCCCAGGGAGCCACGACCTGAAGAGCAGCTTGCCCTTCTCCTGCGAGGCCACCGAAGGCCTGGGAGCAGTTGCTCAAAGCTCGGGGGCCCCTTTGCTGGGCTCTTGGCTTTCCCTTTCGCCTCAGCAGACTCACCAGGGAGTTCTCGCCTGCCAGGAGCTCTGACAACCGTGCCTTTGAGCCGTCTCCAGACTCTGGTACAGAAACTACACCAAAGCATGCAGGGGGGGGGGGCCTCCCCCTCTCGGCCTCTTATGAAAGCAATGCAAGGCCTCCGTCGTCCTCGGGAAGACCACCCAAGAAGTATTTCACCTTCGCGAGGGACGCCAACTTCATGCTGGCAAGAAATTATCAGTCAGCTCGCAGAAACACAACCGTCCCAGCATGAAGGAGGCCTTGACCGAACGTGCGCCGTCCGGTGGAAGTTGCACAGCTAGCTCTCGCCTCACACATGCTCTGCGTCTCGGAATGCCCATTCACTTCAGACTTGGCTATTGGAGTTTCGGAAGACCTGACCGGGAAACTCCCCATGCAGACTACATATCGAATGTTGTCATATTCATGCAGATCACAGCGAGGGGGCTCTGAACTGCCAGAAACGCCAAGTGACACGTCTGATTCTGAGAACCAGCGCTTGACCGCTGATCCTGGGGTGCTGACGGTGCGTTTTTTCCTGGCTTCGCTACCTCAAAGTGGGCCACCTGTTCGTCGCCCGACTCCTTATAGCAGGAAACGAATGAGCGAGAAGATAATTGCCCACTCATCGCGTGTCTGCAAGATGCGAAGCAGCTGCAAGGCCCAAAGCTCGAGCCAAGCAACAAGGAACTCCAGCAAGCCATCCAGTTTTTGCAGATCTCCGTAAATTGCAGTGCCGGCTTTGCACTCAACAATCCTTGGCACATGGGCAGCGGCAGAAGGCACCAACTCTGGGACGTTGCGAGCTGTTCACTGATGCCTGCGGCAGCTGCCTACGAGGCTCCAGCAGCCCTGAGAGGCCTTAAATGCCCCGAGAGACCGTAAGAGGCCCCCTCTCTGCGGCCTGGAGGCGCCGCCAACTCCGGGGGATCCCCACGCAGCAGGAGCCCATCAACCTCTGCTTTGATGCCTGCGTCGGGCAGAGGATTCAGCTTGGGGCTTTCCATGGGGGGTTACTAGGGTTTTTGGATATCAGAGAGTTTTTGTGGTTTGGGATTCAGCATTCAGGGCTTAGAGACATAGGATCAACGCTTTGGGACTTGGGGTACGGGATGTAGACCCAGCAATCTAGGACGTTTGGACGCGGAACCATGCGACTGGTTGGGCAAAATGTTCCAAAGGCAGAAGTGAAGACATGCACGAAAGCCGCACAACCTGAGTCAGCAAAGAAGCCGGCAGATCAAATCGATGTCTACAGCCTTCGGGAACTGTTCTCCGGCTAGGACCGGCCAGGACGTTCAGATTGGAGATAAATGTCCTTGGCGCTGAGCTGAGACGTGCGGATTGGAAAAGGAAATTGTTGGAGTGTTGGACACTATGTCAGCAAAACCGCAACCGCTGTGTACATACTTGAGATGGAGTGTTCAGTCTAGCTTGAGTGTATCCAGTGTAGTTCGACCGCACAAAGGAAGGATCTTAGGATCTACGCAGAATTCATGACTCAATGCCGATAAAGTGGGACAGGGAATGAGAATGCCGGGTGCAGCATTACAGTTCCACGCACCTGCTCCTGCTGCAGGTCTGCCCATGTCTGCAGGGAATGCGTGACGGCAAGCAGCTCAGCAACTAACATGCTGCTCGCCGCACTTGCGAAGTGCTTGGCATACGGGCAGGCCATGCGGGACTTGTCAGCTCAGCATCATGCACTCACCGTCTGCCAGCTCACCCAGCAAGCCTTCTTGACCTTCATGCGATGAGCCCGGAATCATGGAATCATCGACTCAGGATTTCAGACGCCGTGCACCATTCGATCGCAGCACTGTGATTCAATTGTTTGGTAGCTCCTCCTGCAGATTGAGACCACTCTCACACCTCTGCACTACTTAAGTAATTTCACTTGCCTGCGTCTTGTCCTGCATGCTGCCGCAGCCACTGGCCTCAGCATTCTGTTACTGCCATTCACTACCACACTCACCGCTAGGCAGAGTCTGGACGATCGGCCGCGTTTTCTCATGGCGGCTGAAGGGTCCACTTGTCAAACATTTTACGTAAAATGCGGCCATCAGGTGTAAGGGTGTAAGCTTGCTGCTTGCAGTCTCGGTGCCCGCATCTCTCTCTTGTGCCTTCCCACGCGCCTGGGCATCATCTGCATCCTGTCAAACGAAGAACATTACAACTACGGCTCTGTAAACAGCTGTAGCAACCGCCGCTCCTCGCTGGAATCGATTTGGGCTATGGCTGCCTGCAGCCAGAGAGTTCTGAAAAGAAGAAGCCCGAGCCCCCAAAAAAAATCGGATACTTGCACAGACTTGCACTACTTCGGTTGCAAAGAGATCTCAGAGTCTCCTTGGGTGAGCTTCCGATGCCACACACCAACTGCAATTGGCAAGCCAGGTGTTTCGCAGGGTGTACACTTGCTTCGTCGAAAGGGGACACTCTAAGTCGCAAGCACCTATGCCATGACCGTACAAGGAGCAGTGGATACCAACCCGACCTAGCAACGGAAGGTTTAACACGCCACGTGCTGGCTGCCTGTAGAACTTCTTGACGTGTTACCCAGTTCGGCAGCCAGTCCGCCGTCCTTGGGACTTAGAGCCGGCGTCGATCGGATTCAGTTTGAATTATAGACGCAGGTGCTTTCAGGATACGCTCAGCCACGACTGGAGCCGAGTTTTCGCGACTTGCGATGACTTGCGAAGTAGGCGTGAACTCAAACAGAAGCCATTGATCCTGCAAGCTCTTTACCAGCAAAGGCTCCCGGAACCACGTAGACGGCTGCGCGTGGCGCTCAGGGCTTCGAGGGCTGCTGGCTTGGCCTGGAACCATTCACGACGCTTACACGGCTCGCCTGGACTGTGCATTTGCTATCCAAGACACTGCTGCTGCCTTTGCCCGAACAGCTTCCTCCGAGCAGGGCGTACAGTCCCATGTGTTGCGGTGCACATCCACTCAACTCATTACCTGGTGAAAGAACCACAACTGTCGTAAACATGTTCACAGGTCCTGCCGGTCTTCCGGCATTCCTCTGGCTGCATGCTTCTGGATTAGCGAATCAGCTGCATCCCTGCCAGCTCAGTGGATACAGATAGAGTACTTCACAGTGAACCAAGCTGCAACTGGTGAGTTGCAAACGTCCACCGAATCCACACTGTCTGTTCTTTCCCTCCGTGCTGCCTTCTTGGTCTCACTCACTGACCTGTTGCTTTTGTTCTCTCTCTTTCTTTCTTTCGCCAGTGCTGTGGTGGGGAGTTCCCCCACTCTGTTCTGTTCTGTTCTCCGGGGTTCAGGGAGCTGTCGAGGCTCCCCGCACCGCAAGGTGCGCCCCTGTTGAGAGCCTTGTGGGGGAGAAGAAACTCTATACACGCCGGTAAAAACCCACTCTCTCTCTCTCTCTCTCTCTCGAACTCTCTCTTTCTTCCGCCAGTGCTGTGGACGCTCGCGCATGCGCCCCCGTCTACACACTCCAAGGCTTGGACAGTGCCTTGTTTGGGCTTGCAGCTCGTGTCTCTGCAATATGTATCGGAACTAAAAGCGAACATGACGTACACACTGTAGATAAGGTCTCTCTCTCTCTCTTTCTCTCCGTCTCGCTCTTGCTGTCACATCTCGTTCCCGCCGCACCTCGCTTTGGAGTCGAGCTGATCCAAGATGGGCAAAATGGAGTCCTGCAGTGTCCCACAAAAAACTTCAGCCCTGCATGGGCCCGAGGTTTGGTGCTTCAGGGAAAGTTTCGGGGTTGGGGCTTGGGGCTTTACGGCAGGCCTTCAGGTTTTAGGGCTTTCGGATTTAGGATTTCAAGCTTTGGGCTTTGCGATTTTCGTCTTCAGGTTTCTGGAGCGGTGGACTTGAGGACTTCTGGACTTGAACTCAGCAAAGTTTGCTGGCCCTCAGCCACTCCAGAACTCCTTGTCTTCGATGCCGGCAAAGTAAGCGAGTGCCCTCGCAAGACGGACTTGAGACAGATGCCTCTACCCCCAAGCATGTGCAACAGCAGATAGAATTCCAACCGTGAGATTCATCCGGAAAGCTAAAGGCTAGCTAGCTCCTCGCAAGCTTCAAACCCACCATTTCCAACACTTGCCTTGCCTGAGCTTCAGCTCGCCACGTGAGCAAACGTCTTTGGCACCAACCAGGTACGGGAACAATTCGCTCTCCTGTGCTGCTGCATCTTCACGGTGCACACATACTCAATCTCTTCAAGACCTACTATCAAAATCCTGACGCCGTTTTGTTTTCCGCAACGAACAACCCTATAAACCGCAAAGCCCTAACCCTGAGCTCCAACGAGTCATAGAGTTCCGAGTTCCTGCCCCACCAGGCCCACGTGGTCCCACAGCGCTCTCCAGGCATCCAGAAGGCTGACTGTCGCGCTCCCTTCGATTACCTAAAGAAGGGCAAAAATGTTTCCGGTGATCGGACAGTACCTTGCTCTTCCGGACTTGGGGTGTGCTGAAACATGAGCCTTGAATCTCAAGATAAAGCTCTACCTAACCTCAAACCCCGAGACCTCAAGCCTTCAGTGGGGCCTGCGGGGCTCAAAGAGCTGTGCACGCGACGAGGCACGATGCGCCCTCCAGTGTCCAGCCGAAGCTCGCCGAAGTTTTGAAGCCGCTGCGGAGGGCCTGCGGGCGGCATAGGCAGGCTGTCTGGACGGAGGCATTTTCAGAAACCGGATTGTGCGCAGCATGTGACCAATACCATCTGTGAAAAAGAAATTCAAAATGACTGGGAAGTTTTACAGAATCGACCTCAAAGCCCCGCCCGCCCTGTGCCTGCCATCCGTGGAGCGAAACAACTCCAGCGGCCCAGGCCGAACCCTGAATGACCGATTGGGTAGCTAAGGTAACTATAAGAATTCGTAACAAGAATGATAGTACTTAATTTGTAGTGTATTCCTTATATATCATAATCGCAATGTCTAGCAATGGCGAAGCATAATAATCAGAGTGCTACTCGTCGCACTGCTCGTAGCAACGAGGACAGAACTAATATAATACTAAAACTATGTGCGGATTTCGGGGTCTGACTTGCGACACATACGCCAGGCCGGTTCAACTTGGCATTCTGAAGAAAAACTCGTGCGAACATTGGGACTCCTGTCATCCCAAACACGCCGTCGGTGACGGTGCCCGCTTCTTTTGCACGGATGCGCCGAACAGAGCTCTAGAAATGCATGATGCATAAAATTTGAACTGCTGCAATAATTCAGTCGATTAAAGCTGAGTGGTAGGGATTCACGCTGAGCCGATGGTGCACGCACAGGCTTTAAGCTTCTTTTGATATGGTTGCGGCTCTCTGCATGCACATGCGGTACCAATAAATCCTCCCCGGTCTTATTACAACAGCCTCGTCCAAACACTGTACACGCCTTAAGGGCCGTTCGGCTAACCTTGCAGCAACAAGGATGGTACTGCCTCTTAACGCCCCAACCTGAGACCTAAGTTGCATCTATCAGCCAGGGCGAGCCTATCGCAGCTGCCCTTACCAAGCCATGGCGGCTTGCCCGCATCAATCTACCACAAGATTGCTTTGACAGGTCATGCTGACAACTGATTCGGTCTTGGATCCGCAATGCCCCAATGGCCGAAGAACTTTGCATCTCGCGAATAAAAGTCGGAGACTTCTGCTGCGTGGGAGTCTGGCAGCACAGTCGCTAGATGGCTGCGGAGGAGCCTGGAGACGACCTACACCCGGTACCAGGTATTGTCTTCGAAGCAGCGACCCGGTCCCTCCGCAACCTCTCACTCACGACATGACCCTTGCAGGGAGGCCGCCTTGGAAAGGATGATGACCTGCCTTCCCTCCTCCGACAGAGCTTGGCCCACATACTGGTTCATCCTCGACAACCGGAGGCATGAAATTTGCACGCATGTCAGCATCGCATTGTTTCATGTGCAAGCTGGCCAGAAAGGCAAGAGAGCTCGCGACTGGAAGCTGAGGCTCGAACAGTGCACGCGCTTGGTTCCATTGCTTCTCATTGCCTGCTGTTGTTTGGCGCTTGGCTTCTCTTACTTGCACCGCCGTGTCAGTGTGCTGCATGTGGTAGCAGTAGGCACAACCAGGCTCCACACATTTCAGGTCGGCCCACGGCCGGCTGAGAGGAATGAAGACTAGGCCACCCACAATGGTGTACTCCTTTGCGCAACATCTTGCAACCCATCAGAAGGCAGAGTCTTTGCTATAGACATCACATGAATCACGTGCACACAAATCACACCCGTCTTCAATCCTCAAGTTCTCTCAACTCTCAAGCTGGGCATTCTGAGTTCATCACGGCGGCAGCATCGTAGCCATCCATGCGTGGAACCAGCCAGCGGTCCGGTCTGGCCCGCGCAAAACCAGAGGCACATACTTTAGGGAATGTGGGGGTTGGCCTTCGGATATGAGGCCACGAGTAGCTGTACACGGTATACTCAAGCACTGCAGAATTTCTGTCGAAGTGCCAAGGAAACGTGCCGCACCCAAGCCTCAGCGGAATATCCACCTGAGAGATGGTGTTGGATGCTTGCCGTGCTGAGTACGGATCCGGACTGCTGGCGCAGCTCTTCACATCGAAAATGGAGGCTACAAATCATCGCACAACCGATGCAAGCGGGATTTCAAAACTCTGCTCGGGGTAGATTGGAGCCGAAACCGCGTGTAGGGCGTACGGCTGCAATTGCTTGTCATCTATGTTAGCTATACAACTGTAGCCCTGTTTCTGTCTTCACCAGATCCTCCAGGTAAAGCCTTTAGAGACCCCATTACAAGCCCCATCTACGACGGATACAGCAAGCCCTCTCCAATATCACGTCCGAACAACCCATCCAAAGATTCAACAAATGACGAATAATACACAACAACAAACTTACAAACAACGATATTCAGATTTGGAGTCCCATGGGCAAGAATCGAGACAGGATTTCCGCAGAGCAGGCCTCTAGCTCGCTCTTCTGGCGCCAGACTTTGAGATGAACGGACTCATATCCTGTTGAAATCAAAAGACGAACTTCTCGAGGTTTTGGCGTTTGATTGGGTTTAGGGATTCAAATCCTTGGGGTCTGGCACTTGGTGCTGGGACTCGGGGTTGAGGGGTGGGTTGTTGCAACCCACAGCAACTCCACTGGCCAGACGTGAGCAAGCAACGGGAAAAAGGTGCGGTCCGGCGCTGCGCTTCGTGACCATGTGCAAGAAGTGGATTCGCTCCTTATCTGGTCCGAAGCCATTTTGAATTGGTGCGTATGTCTCCAGAGAGCGCCCGGCGTTGTCTCGCAAAGGAACGGTACCGTCCTCGCAGAAGATTGCTAGAGCGGAGCACAACGAAAGCCCGCGTCGACAGTCCTGGCTAATTTCGACACCATCAATCTCCAGGAGCACATCATCCTCCTTCCATGCGAAAGTGGGGGGTATAAGATGCGGTGTCTGCGATTGGACGGAGACTGAGGAAACTTCCAAAACTCTACTTCAGGCTTTAATGGCCGACAGAGGATTCGGCTTGCTTGGCTGCCTTCATGCAAGTCTCCTGAAGCTGTGCGGATTGAAAGCTCTTCTGTCTCAGGTATGCCCCAAGGCCTGCAGCTTTCCAGATGATGATCCAAGCGGCGCTACCTCCACAACGCTCAACGGAGCGAGCGTCACGCAAAGAGTTGAAAATGAAAGGGGAGCTAGACGAAAGAGCCATAAGATCATGTGAAGGTCCGCAACATGAATGCATCCCGTCGGTGAACCATGGACCTTCGCCACGCGGACACCGGCGGTGCAGCCCTGGCTGCGAAGGGGACGCGTCGCACATGCACAAAGGCAGCTGCTTGGCAATGACTAGATGCAGCTGTCTTGCAGGTCGTTTTCTCTTCCAGACCCTCGAATGCTCCGCAGTCCAAGGCCAGGGCACAGGCAAGATGCTGAAACGCCAAGATTGACGCTTGTCAAGAACTTCTGCTTCACCATGCACAATGTCAGAATTGTTTCGCAGCATGTCTGTACAGTCAATCCACTGCGCCAGCCCTATAGGAATTAACGCTGACGAACATCTCCAGAGAGATGTCAGCAGCAGCCGGGGGACCATTGCAAAAGCACGGCCAGAAGCGCTTCTTGCCATAATGGAGTGCTTTTGTTATTTCTCAGCTCGGCCACCCCTGGTCAGGAGCCTCCAAGGCATCAGCCATCAGAGATTTTCAGGAGGTTCGATGCAAACCCCGTGAAGGTCCCTCCGTCGGTGCACGATCTGTGCAAGGATGGCCATTCAAGATGCGAGGCTTCGGCTTAGCTTTTTGCATACCTGTCTAGCTCCTGGTGTACCATCTTGAAAGGCCAGCGGGAGAAGCTGCTGCAAGAGCTGCTTTTGACGCCTATGCAGAAAAGCCGTCAGAAAAGAGGATGCACCTTCAATCAGAACCCGTAGGACACTCACATCCGAGATAGACGAAAGAGACCACTGCGACCGAAGGTGTATCCTTGTTCTACGGCAATGCTGTGGTGGCCTTGCAAGCTGTGCTGTCATCTTCCTGTTTTCGTGAGGCTGGCAGGAGCTGTGTTGCAACCAGGCAGCAAGGTTGCTGGTCTAGGTGGCACACAGGGCGCAGCACAGCAAGCTGGGCTTGTGCTTGGACAAGCTCAAAGGTCAACCAGCCATGCCGTCAAACTGCAAATTCACCTGCAAACTATAAGCCTCCTTGATGAGGTTGACGTCACATCTCGATGCTCATAGTCTACAGCAGCATCAGCTGATAAGAGCTGCGGGCCACAAGGGGATAAAATCAAGAAACTGATGTGGCTTCAACCTCTTGAAACAGCTCGATCTGTGCGACTGGACCCTCGAAGTTGTCGACACACGCAGTCAGGACTCAAACCATGGAAAGCTCTGCTGGGATGTATGCTCGCCCCGATGACGCAGATGATCCTTAAGTGGAACCTGGTGTCGCAACTGGTGATTGTAAGCAAGTGGTAGGAAAATGTTTGCCATCAACCGCCTCCACTAGCCTCCAAAGCGTTGTACCGAAAAGAGATCCAGGCTTGAACAGTGTAAAGAACTCACAATGAGCACCCAAGGGCTCTGAAGCTGCACAGAATCTGCAGCGGGTTCTTGGAACTGCTCTTGCTTGTTGATGTACGGAGATTGTTTGACTGGTCGCATCGTACTGGTGTTCTTTTTGCGGATTCGACCGTTCTGCATCTGGCCTTGTCCTCGGTGCTTTGTTACGTACTTACAGGGTGACCAGCCCGACCGCGTTGCAATTCACAATTAAGCTCGCGCAAGCGAGAAGGATTGAGGCAGCAAGCGTGTCGTTCGCATCGCGAAAGCAGCAAGCAAGGCCTTGAGAGGATTCTTAGCCTCTGCACGGCTTGAAGCCGCGCACTTCTCTTAGCCGGGCTTCTCGCTTCCTCGCAGGGCCGTCTTCACTTTCCCCCTGTCTCTCGCTCTCCTTTGAATCTCGCCTGCTTCTCTCTCCCAGCCAAGAAAGCTGCTATCCGTACCCAGCACACAAGTGACATGGCGAGGGGCGAGCAGAGTCTGGCATGAACCACCCGTTCCCTGGCCCCGACTTCTAGCGCGCGTGCCCATGGTGGCACGTTTTGTAGCACTCCACTGCACCCCTACGCTTCACAGATCTCTTGCACAGCAAACCATTCGTCCCCTCTCGCTCTCGATCTCTTTTCGTCACCGGCCTGGGCCTGGTCTTTGCTTTGGCCCAGGTCTCTCTTTCCCTCGCAGCTCTGTTCGTTGTCTTCCCGTCGGCGCCTCCATGGCCAGGCCTTCGGCGTGGAGCGCGAAGCTTCTTCGAGGGCGGCGGGAAGTCCATGCGCTCCCCGGTACCTGGCCATGGCCGAGAGAATCCGTGAGGAGTGGCTGGAGCCGTATTTTGGTGCCCTTACGACATATTTGAGGATCCTGCTATCTTTGAAAGGGACAGATCTCCGGCCTTGCGCAAAGATGGCAGGCTTGAACTCGTCGGGCACGCTGCTGTGCATGATAGGGCTGTCCCTGGCATGCAGCACCCAAGCATCAACTCTGAGTTCTTGCCGTACCTTCTGGCTCGCTCCGGTCCCCCCCCCCCAAGCCTGTATCGGTCCACGTGTGCTTGCTGCCCTTGATGAGGACCGCTCCAACTCACGCTGCACACCTCCCAAAGTTCGATGGCGGGCAGGGCTCATCACTACAATGTTACAACATTGCAAGGTCGGAGACTCTGCAGAGTCTCCAGGCTTAGGCAGAGGGGCAAAACATGCGTGACCTTCCCCCTCCCGCCTTCGCGCTCGGAAGAACCCACCGCGTGTAGCCATCAAAAACTTTCCAGAATGCCTCCGGGTTCAAGCAAAACGCAACACCCCAAGCACGTGTCGGCTTTCCAAATTCGCTGGGCGGCGGCCCTCAAGTGACTTTATGCACAAGTTGTGGTGCCAAGAGATGACCTGCTTTGACAAACCGTTTCCGCTCATGAGAGCCTTGACCTGCTTCTCGTCGACAAGATTCACCTGCGGAACCGACACTTCGGATGCGTGGAGACCGGCATAGCGGAATGCGGAATAAGTTAGCATATACCATTTCCATTTTCTAACCATGCACCACCCCCTAGCACCCAAACCAAAACAACCTATGCCTCAACCCTAAACCCACCGAAAGACCCGTAGGAAAGACACTCATCAAACATACATTTTTCCTTTTCTAAATCAACCTTCGAAGTATCTTGAATGTGTTTGTTAACTGGTAACCAACTACTATCAACTGAAATTGAAGGCGACCAAATATATATTCTCTCAAAAACATCTCTGTAAATATCTAATATCGTTGGCTGTAATAGAAATCCTTTTCCTGACCCACTCGGGCCTAATATTATTTGACCAGAAGGTAATCCAGGTGCTATATCGTATTTAGATTGTTTGAAATCATATTCTTTAGTATTTACTGGTTTAATAATCGGAGCAATCATTATTCTTAACAGATAGAGTAGAGTTTTGTATATCGTTCATAATAATATATGAACGACTGTCAAATAACATATACAGAATGCGAGGAACTAACGAATGAAATAACCCCGCCTAAATATCGTAGATGTTCCCATGCATTTTTAGAGATGATAAAGACAGTTTTCCTTTATCTGAGAAATACTAACAAATCTAGCTAGTATTAACTATTGAAATGATATATATATATATATATATATATATAGACTTATTTATGACTTGTTATGACAGAGTGCCCCTAGATGCTAGTGCCCCGCGGTTTTCCACAAGCGCAGCAATAGAGTGTGGCAATGGATAATTTGTTTTGGAAGTGTTTGCCCCAGCACTTCATTTTCGCTTGTGTCCCCTAGATTTCCCCTTATATATTCGAATATTAATTCATTCATTAGAAGGCTTGCTTTTTCAGTCTGACCGTGCCTAACTAAAGACTAGACTTGTTAATGTAGTAAGATGGAGAAACGAGTATGTAAATCGTGTTGCGCAACTAAAGAGGTTGAAGAATTTTACGGTTTTAAAACTTGTAATAAGTGTAGAGAAGCGAAAAGGAAATCCCACGACAAAAACAAAAACGAGTATAATCAAGCACGAAGAGAAGAGAGGGCAAAAGGGAGCCAATTATGTGAAGAATGCGGGCACAAAACAAAAAAACGAAAACTGGGATGCCCATCTCCATGATGCGTTACATCCGAACTCAGAACTAAATGTATTATTGAAAAATTATTTGAGGAAATTAGGAAATTCAAGGAAGGCAAACTAATCGATGAAATACAAGCAGACATTAAGGCAGAATATGGGAAGCAGAAAAGGGAAATGCGCAAACGATTAAACGAACAATTTCTTCATAAATTTGTTGATGAAGAACACGAGCCACAGCCTGAACCCGAGAAACCTAAACCCGATATTGGTAAAGTGTTTAATCATGTCCATCAGTCGCTAAGGAATGATGAGTTTCTAGCCGATTATTTCATGCTATTCGGTAAGAATAAGGATAGGATAATTATTGAAATCCCTGTAGATGGGTCTGAAGAAAAGAACACTTGAAGGCATAACGCCTATATATATTTGTATTAAGCGGAAAATGGATTATACAAACTCAAAAACATAGAATGCAAGTAAAGTATGTTCAAAAGGTATATGAAATAAACATAAATGAAACAGATTACCTAAATGAAATTAAGGAGTTAAGAAAGTTAATTAAAGTATATGAAAGTGTGTTTGATACTCACGATGTTTTGAATGTTAGATGTGATATATCTCTTTTAGAATGCAAAATCCAAGAAGATAAAAAGTTAATAAAACAATATGCAGACGTGACTTGATTGAATACTGAAATACTTTGTAACAGTGGAGGAAACAAAGACACTAAATATTTAGATGAAAAACGAAGAACTGCGTTATGTGGTTAAACAGTCATGCCTAAATAGTAAACCAATAATAATAATATAATTTTGTCGAAATAATGTTAAACCAATAATAATATCATTTTGTCGAAATAATGTTATTCTTGTTTCTTATGCCTGCCTTATTCCTAAACCTTATTCCTGTTAGAGAATACCATTTCCATTCTCTAAGGTTAGGGATTTCGGGTTGGGAATCTGGGTTTTTCTATAGGTGTGTTGGTGTATGGGGTTGAGGTTGTTTTTTTTCTATGTGGGTCTTGGTGTGGGTTCTGTCATGTGGGAATTTGAGTTGGGATTTTAGGGATGTTGGGGTTGAGGTATAGGTTATGGTTTGGGGGCTAGGGGGTGGGGCATGGTTAGAGAATGGAAATGGTATATGCCAACTGAATGGTGGATGAAGTCGAGGAGCAAAGGCATATCCCAGGTTCGCTTTGGACCGGAAGTCCTGAGGAAATTGCTGACTTGCCTGTTCAAGGGGCTACTACCGGGTAGTCTGCCTGCTATGTGCGTCTTTCTTGTAAGTTGATAAGCTTGGTCTGATCCCGCAGAAGTCGGCAGAAGTCACGCACAGGTGCAGCTGAGCCGGGCTAGGGCTCAAGAGCCCGGGCGCTGTTTGCCAAGCGACGATGGGGAGGTACAGGAAGTCGTACTTGCCCTCGCAGGGTGCCCGGTGTTGCGAACAGAAACACAGGTCAAAGCTCTTGGCACTGCATTCCGCAGAGCTCGGCCTTAAAATTTTCCTTGTCCATCATGGTGCTGACCATGGCCCGGGTGTAGTTGTTGGGAAGATTACCTTCGTCCATGAAAAGCTGTTTCGAAAATACCCTGAGTCGCATGTCTTGCAAACTGTACCTGACTCACTCTTACCGGAAGCCCCTGCACAAAGAAAAAGAAGGCTCTCAGGCATCATACAAACTGCTCGCTTGCATGCGATGGCAAGCGCAACAAGTTCAAGTCCGACCTACCCCGGCTCTCTGGGCAGCCGGGCGCAGCATCACGGTAGTTCGTGGCTGCGAGGATTGCGATGAGCGTGGCTGCGAAGATGTGCTATCTGAGCCGCGACGGCACATGGACGGGCAAGGTTTCGGGATGGCGCTCCAGAGCCTCGCCTGATGGTTGCGGAGTCGGAACGAAGCCCGGCCTGTACTGCCATGCTATGCCGTGCTGCACGACCCCAACTCAGGATGAAACAACGCCGAGGGGCAATGTGGGCACGCCCGCAACCACATACTGGGCCAAAAGCTGGTCCAAGGAAGGCCTTCGACAGGCTCGGCTCGGTTGACCATGGGTTTCGGTTATAGGTGTTCGGGTTTGCGGTTTCCGGGTTAGGGTTTGGGGGCTTAGGCTCGTCCAGACTTGACCGTCGCCTGTAGATCCCTGCAGCTCCCAGCACGGGCATCATCGGTGGCGGAGCTCGACCGACCCTCGAGTGCGTCTCATCCTGAAGGGCAAATCAGCAAATCAGCATGAACCAACTCACCCCGACAATGACTCATGTCAAATCGCGCCTCACTCAAGAGTGTAGAGATCAGAAGCCGACTCCGTCCCGAACTGGAGCACTCGGGGCCCTCCTCTTCGACACCAAGCAAGCCGAGTTCGCCCTAACACGTAAAAACCCTAGAAAGAGAAAAAAAAACAAAGAAAAGGCTTGAGGCCTCGATCTTGTCCTTCTCGACATGGGACTTGCCCCCAAGCAACACCGGAAGCTCCTCTTCCTGATCGTCCACCTGATCGACTCATGGGGATTCAGGGAAGGGCGAGAGATATTCTGCTTTTTCCAGCCTCCTCGATCGGCCTTTCCGTCTTGGACGCCGTGGTTCTTACAAGGTCGATGGATTTCCTCAGTGAGAGTTTTCAGGATGCACCGGCAGTTCTTCCCATGAAGACCAAACAGATGAGCACGGGAAGGCCCTTCGTCGCCAAGAGACGGAAAGTCAGGATACTGTTCCGTCTCCAGGTCCTTTGACTGGATGTACGGGGAGCCATCAGCGTCCTCTGGCACGGCCTCGCACGGCCCAGAACATCTCCCCCAAAAGCCTAGAAGATTGGACATCCCGCCTCGTCGTCCACCACGGATTTGCCACTGAGCTGTCGGCCAAATCGCGAGGTAATCACGGAATCCTCGTGCCCACCCACCAAGCAATTCAAAAAAAGCTCGAAGAAAAATCCTGGCCAAGGCTCTGAGTTGTAGGTCGCTGGCAATCCCCTCGGAGTGATGTCCTCCACCACCTGAGAAGCCGCACAATACGTCCTGCAGCGACTTCGACTGACGAACATCTGTCCCACCTCCAGGAACGTCTTCTTTACAATGACTTTGTCTGTCCCTGGCAGAGTGCCGTTTTGTCAGATGCATGACCATGAAGGGCTTGCCCCCATCAGCCTGAGTCCCCGGAGGGGAAGGGAAGTCGCAGCCTCGGCATCTGACAGCATCGAGACAGGAGAGACAGAGAGAGACGGAGAGAGAGATAAGCCGACAAAAGCGCAGGCACCATGCTGCTGCTGCTGACAATGCGTCCATTTCGAGCATGGTGAGGTTGACATTGCTACGTTTCGGAAATGCCCTGCATGAATGATTCTGGCGACTGCAGCATTACTAGCAACAGTAGTGCCAATCATCATGACGATGATGATGAAACTGACGACGACAGTCCCAAACAGTGGACTGCAACGGCAGCAAGCCTAGAGCTCCTCGTTCCTCATCTGCGACCCAAGGCACGGCTCCATGGCCTTCGGCGTTCGTCGGGTCGGCGCTGTGTGTCTTCGTTTGAAGTTCTCAGCCGCTGCAAGCCGAAAACGCCGGCGGCCAGCAGCATTTGAGATCTTCACCATCGCCAGTACTACGCATTGCAGAAGCGGCAGAAGCTCAAACCTCGGCCTGACAACGACTGCATGACATCCGAGGCCTCCGGCAGGCCAAACATCCGCCGCAGGGGAACGCTCTCCTATGGAAAGGCGATGGCGATACCCTTTGTCGGACTTGGAGACGTGACTCTGCCAGGGCTGGATTTTAGAGATGGATGCGGCCCAGGCTTTCAGATCCATGCAAGTGACTGGAACCATCAATTGAGCTGAAACATCTTCTGTGGAATCTTCAGTGACACGACAAGCTGCTCGACATGCCAAGAACCCTCACCACGAGCGGTCTCCAATGTCTGCACGCTGCCAACACCCAGGGAAGAGACACCGAGGTATCCCTGCCGAGGTTGCTCGACGCTTCGGATTCTAACACTCACCTCTTCTCTTCTTGGCCTTCGCGGGCTCGCCACCTTCAGCTGCGCGTTCGGCGCCTTGCAATCCTTTCGGATGCTGCAGAGGCATCAAGCTGGGAAGATTCAGGTGCGGTGCGCCTGAACAGGAGATGAACTGCTCCAAGACCTCGCCACACTCAACGCCACAGAAAACGCTACCGCTACACAGTGCAGAACATGCAAAGCCCCGTTTGAAGGTTTCAGGCACCTGCCTGCGTTGGAATGATGTAGCCGATGTTCGAGGCCTTTGCATTCTCAACCACCCTTCCCACGCAGCACATAATTTCTGTATTTGAGGCCTACTGGACCATTACACACACAGACACACATCTCAAACTTATTGTCTTATTTTACATACAAGGGCAAAGGTGGGCTGGCAAGAACAGCTGCAACCAGAGCAAAACCAGCCTCTGGTCAAGCCCGCACTCTTGATGGCACCAAAGAACGCGAAAAAGGAGCTTAAGCCTGAGCCATGGGCATGCTTTAGATGGCTCGCCGCCACACCCACGATCTTGCCGTGACTTCCCAGAACGGGGCCGCCAGAGTTGCCTAGACGTGTCAGCGAGAGCATCAGTCAGCAGGGCCTAGCGTTTCGGGCTTGGGGCTTATTACGCAAGCCCTAGGCGTCAACCCTGACCCGGTCGAGCCGCCTGGGTTGATTGCTGCATCGATTTGGACTCGCAGCAGGCCGTCATGGTGGACATCGATACCTAGCAGCATGAATTGGACCTCTAACTGAATCCCATGGACAGTATCCTGAGGCCCTCAGAATGTTACAGTGTTGCAGTGGTTTTGCACTTCAACATTGACGTAGAACTAGCATTGCTCGCTTCCTGAGGCGACTGCGCGACACCACACCGCGGGTAACAGAGATGTTCTCTCCGCCCACAGGAAAGCCAATGCACCTTCTCATGACGCCGGCTTCCAACGGTTAGAATAATGTGAGATCTGCGTTGTAATGAACAGGTCTGGCCACACACGTCGTTGCAGTTACACCAGCCTCACTATCGTTTTGACTTGACCCGTTAAGAACCACTCATGCGGGCCGAGGTGCGTCACATTGTCGTCCAGCTTCGGGATGTCTCGCGACAACGTCAAAGACTCCTCTGTCGCAACGATGTTATCATGATGAAAGCTCCGATACATGGTGGTGATTATACCGTGATGATGACGATTGACAGTTTTAGCATGATCATACCAGCGTCACGATTAGCAATCTACGTCTAACACTTGCCGTGGTCATGGTATTGCGGTGCCTATAACTGCCATACTAATCACCCCAAGTATTGATGTCAATGTTGGTGGTACTCTTTGCATGTTGCTGCTACGGGTAGGCGCCGTCGCCATTGGTTTGCGGGGTTTCGGCATGCTTGCAACATGCAGTTGAGGAGGCCAGAACACGGCACCAAGGCTCCTTGCCCTTCCAGAACTCATCCTCCACGGCCAGAATTGCCAAATCACCTTAATCGTTCCGCGCCACGCTACGATGCCGAGGTGGAATGGTGCACCACATCTTCAACGTCACAGTATCTCGAACATTGCCATGAGATGGCATGCCCAGCCAAGCGGCATGGCAGACCAACAGCCAACACCCTGCAGCAAGCGAGGATGGCACAGCTGGGACGGCAAGCAGCTGGTTTGAAGGCTTGAATAACAGGTCCCACAGGCACCCGTGCATAATTTTGCACGTACTAGCAAGCTGGGATTCTCTGTATGCCTTCCATCTACCTCACAGAATGCTCAGAGTCCGATGCACAGGTGCTCCAACTTTCTGACAAGCTCCCCAGGTAAGTAGCCTAAAGTCAAGCCTGTAAAGAAATGTACAGACCGAATCCATCAAATGCAACGAATATGTGTATTGTGTATGTTTTATGCATATGTGTATGTATATCTAATGAATCTAATGTCTGTGTGCATGTGTCTGTGTATGTGAATCATGCGCATACACATACATGTAAGTAATCTACATGTGTATTTACATCTCAATACACATCTACATCTGCATCTAAATGAACATGCACTCCACACGGTGGCCTTTT